CAGAGCTGGGAGAACCCAAGAGAGCAGCTGAGCTGCAGCACTGAGTGTACCAACAAGTAAGAGAAGACGAAGCCAGAGCAGGAGGAAGGGGCAGGAGCGGAACTGCCAAGAAAAGCATGTTACAAATTACGGGCTGTGTGAGTAGTGCCCCTCCCCCCAAAAAACCGGAATTACCTTTTGGAGGGCGGGCCCCTTGTAGTAGAGGCATCCCCCTCTTGGTAAGTGTTCTAGGAACCCGTCAGCATCAGTGGACCAGATAGCGTTGTTGTGAGAGGCTGCATCAGGCTTCAGTGAATTTTTTTTGGAAATTCTTTCAGTGCATTTGCCCATTTCATGACGGGTGATTTGCACAAGCAACCTACCCACACCACAGTGAGTGTTCAGCAGTTTGTGACCAAAAACGGCATGACCCCCATGCCCCTTCCTCCCTATCCACCCGATCTAACCCCAAGTGACTTCTTTTTTGTTTGTTCCTCTGGATGATACAAGTCCTTAAAGGGAAACATTTTGCCCATGTGGAAGAGGTGAAACAAAAATGGCAGAAGCACTAAAAGGTATCAGAATCAATGAGTTCAAAAACTGTTTTGAGCAGTAGAAAAAGCATCTTGATAGGTGCATTGCATCAAACAGAGAGTACTTTGAAAGTGACTGAAGTTTAAACACGTAAGAATTAGTACACAAGTTTTTTAATAAATAAATTCCCGGTTTTTTGGTGCCCTCATGTATGTAGGTAGTTGGAATGTAGACGCTCCAAAGACAGGACAATGGAGATACCCATGTTTTAAAATATGACAAGTAAGGAGGGAAAAAAAGAAAATCATCATTAGGCCACTACAGTAATAGCTGCCATAGGCAAGATCCACCAATAAATACCCAAATTTTTAGGCAAAATCTCAAGGAGAAACAAGATATCTACATAGCCTCAAAGTTTCTCCCCAAATATTAATGACAAAGGGGAAAATCCTAACTCTGGAGAGAAGATAGCTGGCAGACACCACCTCAACCAACTGATGACAAGTAACCAACAAGACATATCAACATCATGAATCCCCTGAAACGATGCACTGAGAAGGACAAAACATCACTTCCTTCTGGCGAAAAATTCATAACACCCACCTAATCATCAGACAACCTCAAACTGAAGGACATTCCACAAAATAACTGAGCGGTGGTCTTCAAAACTGTCAAAGTCACTAGGGACAAGAAAAGACTGAAGAACTGTCACAGCTTGGAGGAGAGGAGGGACACGTGACAGCTAAAAGAAATGTGTGATCCTGGACCCAAAATCAAGCAAACAGACAAAGGACATCAGTGGGAAGACTGATGAAAGCCAAATAAAGCCTGCAGTTTAGCTACTGTATCCTACCAGTTAACTTCTTAGTTTTGCTTATTGTTCCACCCAGAAGACGACACATATATGTAGATTGTATCCTCGCGCTGAAAGGAATTATCCCTACCCTCTCACACCTACATTTTCACAAGATGCTAAAAGAAGGCCAAATCAGTCACTCAATCAGCATTCAGGATTTACATTGTATCTTTTTCCTAAGAGTTCAAAGGCTTTAAATGTTATACCCTCACTTATCCTCACAACATTTACATACCTACAGTAGAAAACAGATGGTACAAAATTGGGGAAAATGAGGTCAAGTCTCAAGATGAATCACTTGCAGAAATAGGCCTGCAATTCAAGTTTCCTTATTAAGCACCATGATTTTAAAAAAAAAGAAACATATTAAGGCCATTTGGAAAGCAAACAAGAGAGTCACCCTTGGTGTACTCGCAAGTGCATTGCATGTATGTGTATATATACATACGTGCAAAGGTAGACACACGTATGATCACGCACACATGCATACACATGTGCTAACTCATAATATATAATGTGTTCTCTTAGCCAACTCTGTCAACTTGCTTACACCAAACTTAGGCATAATAATCAGTATATACTAATGAAGCAGTGAAAATGACCATGATACTGTTATCAACAAATCGGTGCACATAGATCACTGCAATTCAGAATTTTTAGTTGCAATGTGTGATTCCGGAACAGCAACAAGAAAAGGACATAAGTGGGAAAACTGATAAAAGTGAGAAAGAACAAACTTAAAAAAAATAATTATGAGTCAAATACACTTGTCATTACACCAACTAAGAGCATTTAAAACTCAAACATCATCATATTGGAAGGGGAAATGAGAAGCTAATAACATGCATTGACATTCACATAAAATCAGTATGTAAAGTGAGAGATGGGAGTCTAATGATGAATATGAAGCAAGGGTTTGCATTTTAACAGACTAAGCAAAAATGTAATTGACAAAGAGGCGAGTCTAAATGAATTTCCAGCTATTTAAACACTAAGTGCAGCTGCATGCTAATTGTCAGTGTTATGAATTAGAAAAAAAAACTGTTGAAACTGTTGAAAGTTCAAAAAAAGAAATGCAGCCAACATTTGAACTCACACACTGTACTGAAGCTGCCATTCATTCCATGAGAAAAGGGTACTTTTTCCAAAAGGCAATTTTTGAACCTCAGAGTATCCGATCTGCAGTTACTTCATATGACCGGGTAACAAAAGGGACTTGGGAGTACATGAAGACATGAAAGTGATTCTGGGAGCAGCATCTTCCTTTCCTGGAATTAAGTCAAGATTTAAAACACTGGTTTTCAAGAAGAAGCTAACGCAATCATATTTCATGTAAACACCACTAATGGCAACAGGAACAACTGATGATTGTTAGCTAACTTTACACCAAACTATCTACCCTTCTGCTGTATCAAAAATGAACCCTCTGTATTACAACAAGCACAAGAGTGCCTTTTCTAGGAGTTGAATTCGCAGCATCTTCATGGCAGTTCAGAGCTCCAGCTCTGGCACCAGGCTTCCCGGGTTAAATCCTAACTACCATTTCTCGCTGTGTGCCTTTGAAAATAACATTGAACCACACTGTGCCTCCCTTTCCTCTTCACAGTATGTGGATAATGTTTCCCACCTCCTAGCATCATCGTGACAATCAGATGTATGCATATATGCAAGGATTCAACCAGTGCCTGGCCCATGCTCGATAAAACGGTGAGTGATCATTCTCATCAGTCACAGCAGCAATCCCTCAGGGCAGGCATTATTTTATTGCAAATGACAGGGACAAAGAAGATGGTGGCAAGCAAGCTACAGTTGTGCTGGTCCCTGGATCTGAGGGGAGGCCTGCCCTCTGCCACCTCCCACACCCTCATCTTGGTGGATGGGAGTCATGGGAAGAGTTCTGGCCACTTCTCACTTTCCCAATTCTGGCTGGGAAATTGACTGACATTACCTGCCCCCTTAGATGCAGCACAAGTGACTTTAGAACAGGGTGAGACATCAATCCCACGGCTGTGTTAGGACATGCTTTGAGCTCTTGACATATTTGCCCTACAACACTAACAACCCTCAGAGGATAGGCTGGTGACTGGTCGTGCACCTGACTTTGCACCTGAGCCTTTACCCAGAGCCCTTGGAATACACCATCAAATGTTTTCTTTATCCTTGTATTTCCCAAGGTCATGCAAAGGACAGGGCTTGAAAATCAAAGCTGATACAGTAAGATTTCATGTTCATTCTTCTCCTTTAATTTACTGGAAGTTCCAACCTCTGAATAGAAGGAAAACGGCCAAGTCTGCAGGCATCTTGGCAGAGTGACAAGTCACCAAGAAGGGATGTGAATTCCCACAAAATAAACACACCAAGTCCAGACTCCTCTGCATGCTCTCAAGCCCAGTCCTACTGTGACCAGGCTGGCATTCCTGCCAAGGATGCAGAGAAGCCAACAGAGAGAAGCCTTTGGCCTTGAATCACACACACTCTAGTGACAAAGCAAGACAGGAAGGCTCTATCAGTGTGCAGTCAGGGGAGAGCAGCCCCAAACTCCAAGGGGCCTGAAAGGGAGGCTTCCTGCTACCTGCACAAGAGAGCAAGGGAGTCACGAGGCATCCCCCCAGGACCCTGCTGGGGAGTAAAGAAGGACTCAAGAAACTCTTCCACATCTCTTTCCAGCCTGCCTTTCCCATGCTCCTTTGTGCCATGTACTCTTTCATCAGAGCCTTGAGTTCCCAGTCTCAGAAAAACCCACTCTCCAAAGAAGCTCTCCTATCCCCATTTACACCTCAGTTGGCATTTAATCCCAGGTACCTCTCTCCTTTTAATTTGATTATAGTTTCTAAGGCAATGAGAGGCTTTATGCCCTGCTCAAATGGGCTCAGTCCGGAGGCAAGTGTAGCCCAGAGTAGCTGACTTCTGCTTGCAAAAACACCAGTCCTCATCTGTGGATCCAACAATCCTATTTCCACATTAAATATCTGAAACAGATCATTACTATTACCCTACACTGAACTTAAAAAAATAAACAGAATGGATTAATTCCTTCATATCCTCAAATACCATAGAAAGGCAATAATCCTTTGAACTTAACAGGAAGCGTCACTGTGGAAAGTGTTGTCAGAAAGTCTAATTTTGGGTCCAGCATCACCATCTATCTTACCACATAGCCACAGACAGGTCGTAGGAATTTTCTGGGTCTCAGCCTCCAGAGATAAAATTAATGGGTTTGATGGCTATCTTAAGGTTCCTCTCAACTCTAAAAGCTCATGATCCTAGTCATTTTAAGTTCAAGTACTTTCAGACATCGAGATAGCAAAAGTTCAATTTGCATTTAGCAGTGACTATGAACTATGCAACCGAAGACATAAAAAACGGACTTTTGCAATTAACGTTGCACAGGTGTGAGAAAGGAAATAGAGAATGCTGCAGAGCTGGGACCTTCTTCTCTCAGCCCATTCCTAGAAGCTATCCGACTTAATGCCATCATGCTTTTTCTTTTTTAGACTCCCACCCAGCACACTCAGAGGTGTGAGCTTGGAATGGCCATGCATGCACCCACAGCAGGCAAGAGGGAGGCCAGACCACCATGGCAGTCTGGGAAGGGGCCTCCAGAGTCACGCGGGGCTACCTCTCCGCTCACCTTCCACCAGCTGGTCCAGGCTGGAGATCTTCCTAAGCCCATCGATGGTGTAGATGGTCCTCACTCCCTGCGGCAAGTTCACGTTATCCGACAGAGTTCGGGTCAGGTCCGCCAGCAGGGCCTCGAACGAGCGGAAGCGGTCTGGGGAGATGGCGTACACAATCCCTTTGAAGTATCGGTCTCCATTCCGATAGAAACGAACTTTCTTGGCCTTCTTCTCGGAGCTGAGCGTCTGCAGCGTGCGGGTGCGGTAGAAGCTGCAGTGGGCACTGTGTGTTGGGCTTGGCAGGCCATTCACCCGCGAGCCTCGACTGTACCTCTGCGCCTTGTCCCGCTCGTCAAAGTGCTCCAGTTCCATGTCTCTGCCGAAGGACATGATGGACTTCTAGTAGGACCTACAAGCCCCAGAAACAAAAGCAGACAGACATACCGCTATTATTTTAAGATCACGATTTGAGGGCCAGGGGTGGTGGCCCACGCCTGTGAACATTAGCGCTTTAGGAGGCCAAGGTGGGAGGGTCACTTGAGGCCAGGAGTTTGATGCCAGCCCGGACCACACAGCAAGACCCTATTTCTACAAAAAATGTCAAATAATTAGCAGTGCATGGTGGTGCATGCCTGGTGTCGTAGCGACTCAAGAGGCTGAGGTGAAAGGATTGCTTAAGCCCAGAAGTTGGAGGCTGCAATGAGCTATAACTGCATCACTACACTCCAGCCAAGGCAGCAGAGTAAGAACCTGTCTCTAAAAAACAAAACAAAACAAAAACAATGGGTCGTGCCTGTAATCCTACAACTTTGGGATACAGAGGTGAGAGGATTGCCTGAGTCCAGGGGTTCAAGAGCAGCCTGGGCAACTTGGTGAGAACTCTTCTCTAAAATAAATCAAGAAAAATTAGCCAGGCATGGTGGCGTGGCGCATGCCTGAAGTTCCAGCTACTTAGAAGGCTGAGGCGGAAGGATCGCCTGAACCCAGCAGGTCGAGGCCACGGTGGGTATGAGCATGCCACAACACTCCAGCCTGGGTAACAGAGTGAGACTCTGACTCAGAAAGAAAAAAACCCAAAAAAATAATGACTTGAAAGGTTTTGCTTTAGGACAGCCGAGTGGAAATACTGCTGTAATTGATGACATACTTAATATGAATTATCAAGTGGGACAGACAGAAAGAGGACAACGAAGAAACAGAAGAGGCAGCCACCAGTGGGAACAGAGCTTAGCAATCAACCACAGTTTGGGGAGAAACAGCTCCTAGACATCGACAGCCTACAAAGCATCAGGCTGCAAACAAACTATTATTTTCAATAGTCACAAAGACCTTTCAAAGCATCATCATCCCTTTTTACAGACAGAGAAACTGAGGCACAGAAAAATGTCTCCTAGATTGCTCCCAGTAGTCCAGTTAAGAAATGCTTGAGGCAGCCACTCCAACCAAGACTGCCTGACTCCAGAGAGCACCGCTCCTCTCAGGGCAGTGTGCTAATCCCGGTACTACTCAGTGCAAGCAGAAAGTCAGCTTTCTTATCATTATGCAGCCAAAGATAAGTAGCCGCGGTGGGCCAGGACACCAAGGAAGGGGGCAGGCAGCCTTTCACAGTCAGACCGCAGAAGCTTTTCGTAGGCCAGATGGAGAGCAAATTAAATCAATCCGTAGGTTGTACCAACTTAAGGAAGATCTTCCAACACATTCAATATTTTTAAGCACAAATTCCCCACACTTCGTTTACTTACATTGAGTGATTCAGATGAGATGAGTTAAAGAAGAAGCAGAGGAGGAGGAAGAAGAGGAGGAGGAAAAAACAGAAGAGAAGGAGGAGGAATAACAAGAAGAGAGGGAAAAAAATTACTTCTTCTTTAGAGGGGTTCACCCCTCCTTCTGCCGAGGCTCTTTCTGGCTTTATGGTTGAGAAATTCAAAGCCTAAAAATGTTGATTCAGACACTGGCTGTGTAATTTTGAGAAATCTACTTGATCAGTATCTTTACGCCTTGATCTCCTCACAAAATGAGACTAGTGTCTCCTTCGGAGTTAATATCAACTATTTAATAAATGGTCACACATGAAACCCACAGGATAGAGTCTGGCACAGGATAAGCATTCACTCTGTTAAGTAATAAAATCTGTTTTTCTGCTCTTGACCCTGAAAAGAACTAGTGGGAACAAAATCCCCCACTTCTGGCAAGGGAGGCACCTGGTGAGTTCCGGGATCTCTATCTCCTGACCTTCTGAAAGCCGCACCTGCACCCCTACAGTCCCCTTTACTTTCTGTGGGGCCCTGTCATCAAGCAAGCTGCCTGCGGGACCCGGCCATCCTTGCCAAGGGGTTCACTGATCAAGGGTTAGTGGTGGTGCTGCCCCTTTCAGGGGGATCTGTGTTTCAACAGGACAATCTTAGAAAGCGGAAAAAGAAACCTCAACGTGCAAAGGAAAGAAATCTTAATGAAAAAATGCCGGGCATGTTAAAATTGAATCGAGGGGAAATGGGAATTTGGGGGCAAGAACCTTACAAGGACATCCCAAGTCACACCACATAGATGACATCACCTTTCTGAAGGTCAGTCAACACTCACCAAGAGTACTCCTGTCTCCCTGACCTTTCTTTGGCCCTCGATAAACTGGCCTCTGACCATTCAGAGTGGCTAGAATGTCATGCCTGGAAGTGTGGCCAGAGATTCGGTACTTCTGAAATGAAGTGGAAGAAAGCAATATTTATTGAACGCCTAGGATGTTCCTGACACTATTATCGTCAATCAGTTGTCATATAACATGCTCAAACTTCTCTTCTAAACCGCACATGAATCCAACAAGGTAGGCAGTATTATCAAGACTGGGGGTGGGTAGGTATAAAATGCATCCAGGGTCCCAAGTGTATAACTGAGGAGGCTGGGATTTGAACCCAAACCTCTTGTGACTCCGAAGCTGGTGCTCTCAAGCCCTAGCCCCTCTGCTCCTGTGCCCGCTTCAACACGAAAAGCAGGATTCTACAGGCCTCATTCCTGACTAGCACAGTGACCTTGGCCAGGCCACCTAACTGATATAGACCTCATCTGCACACAGGGGAAGCCGTGGTCGCCAGGCGGCTACTGGTCGTGATTCCATCCACTCATTAGATTCGCCTGCTCATGGGTCTGTCCCTGATCCCACTGGGAGGTCTGGGAGGAGGGGGAGTGGAGGTGATTTAAGCCCGGAGTAATTATGAGTTCAAGTATTTTTCCCTCCAAATACAAAAACTATCCCACGCCCCTTAATAGCTCATAATTCTCTAAATTTGCATTTTCCTGAAAAAGTCATGCCATGTGTAGGTAGTCTAAACTGGTTTCACTGATTTTCAAGTTAGATAACTTTAAAACAACTATTCCATGACACCCAAAGCTATAGACGTTCATTGCGTAACAGAACCAATATTTTGCCATGACACTAGTGACTGCTCTTACTGTTTCATGTATGTGTTTTGAAAGTGAGTTCTCTTGCCTTTCAAAATGGGTGCATGTCTTGGGGCTGAGGTGGAAAGCACTGCAAGTACTCACACCAACCCACTAAGCTCTTCAAAACTTCCTAAACTATAAAGGCCAGATTGGCTTTTGAAGGCTTTATTTTCGAAGGCAGTGATCATTCTCCCAACCCTAGGGGCCTCAGAGTTCCCCCCCAAAATTTATATAAACTAAAAGAAAACAAGCAGGGTCCTAGCAAAGGGTGGCATAGGCATGTTCCCAGAAAGAGAGCAAATCTGATTCTGAGAGGCTCTTAGCCACTCACAATCGGCAAAGGCCACATAATTTGGCAATGGTTTGAATTCCCTAAGGGGGACAGGCTTTTAGGACTAAGAATTCCACACCAAATGAAAAAAAAAATTGGAAATAGACAGAAGTTTATTTTGTTTTATTGTATTTGCACATCTCTTCAAATGGAGTGGCACATTCACCCAGGGAAGGGCCACATCCTTGGCTTCCCTTCCACGAACCTGCCCCCAAGTAGGCAATGCTGTTGACAAAGGAAGCCACCCTCTAAATGAAATCACTTTCAAGGCCACCGCTACCACCATATGAGTGTCAGAAACCACACTCCACACCCTAGTGGCTGGTCATTACCCATGCTCCTTTCCTGGCCGTGGCTGGTCAACTCTTCAGTTGGCTGAGTCATAGGTGGGAGCCAAGAGCTCCTAAAACAGCTTCCCTGGTCTTCCTCAGGTTCACACTTACGGCACTTTTGGCCTGCTAGACCCAGGTTCAGAGACCGTAGGTGGCCAGGGGCCTGGGTTTCCACGTGCAGTGGTACCCAGAGGGTAGCCACAGTCGCTCAGCCACAGCCGCCACAGCCACGGGGGTGGGGAAGAAGGGTCAAGGGCTCTCATCAGAGCTTTTCCTATAAATACTGCCATGCCAAGAAACCACCATCCCTGATTGTTCTCAGTGGGATTTCTCACCATTTTGAACAACCTCCTTTCATCCTTCTCAAGATGAGCACATGGGTTCTTGTTCAGAAATTTACACACACAACCCGAGAAAAAAATTGTCATAATCAATAACACATCTAAATAGAGACTGGACCTGGAAGTCCCAACACATATTTTAGCTGTGGGATTCGGATTCAGGTGGATGGCCAGGCGTGGCATAAAAGGCAAAGGCACACACACACACAGACACACACACACACACACCTTCCGGGCGCGTGCACCACCACGGACGCGGCTGCCACAGGGCGTGTGCATGTCTTTGATCATTTTCCTCCACACGACCCGTCTTAAAATCCTCCTGACCCGCGTCCGCGGGGCATTTCCTACTTCAAACGCTGCCCTACTTTCCTCCCCCACCGAAGGGCCATCCTCTGTGGAGGCGCAGCCACAAAACGCGTCCGTCCCCGGAGCGCCCCGCAGTGTGGCCGCCGAGCGCGCGTGTCGCCGTAACCTGGACACACACGCGCAGGTGCG